AAGTACAGGTACCCATTGGACAAAAGATACATGGAAGTTTAGCAAACTATCTCCCCGACCCAGTGCAATGTATCCGGTTAGAATCAAAGCTCACGTGTCCCTTATTTGAGGGACCAAATTCTGCCGTAAATTCGCCCTTGGATTAAAAAATAAAATGGGATTTAAGAAAATAAAATGGGACTTTTAAGGTGTATTTTGGCGTCATTTTTCGGACATTTCAATCAATCCTGCCGGCTAAAATAGAGTCTAAGTTTTACCGTAGTCATTGACGTCTGTCTATTCAAGAGTACACGTGTATGATTTTTATCGTGACTAGCGTGAGCGGGTAAGCTTCCTTTCGAGAATGAGCTGTTATCACTGTGAACAATGTTAAATTATTCTTCAGATGACCAGTTTATTTTTTAAAAACAACTAATTTTTTTATTTAAAAAAAATCATGCCGTTTTCGCATCAAAATCCAAGCCAAAATATCGTACTACAACATCAATCTCTTCGCATTGCGTTCAATAACATTAACATATTTAAATAAGCTATGGTAATTTGAACACGTTGGCATCATCCAGCTTTTTGATTGGTTAATTAGCGATTTGACCTATTTGACCTAAGAGAACATGGCGGATATCCTACAGCATCAAACGTTTATACGAGACCGGAATCATTCGCTTACGATGAAACTTAGTTGACTTTTATTTGTATTTCATAACCATTCAACAAATTTATTTTGTGTACATTATTATAATCACTACTGAGTACAGTAATAATCAACAATTCAGAAACGCAGCATGCCGAGATTTTTGTGTTCGTTTTTATTTGAAACTTCGTTTATTTAGAATATATTTTCGTTACCAATAAAATAAAAATCTCTCAGTCAATCAGAAACCCGGATTCATGCCTTCGAGGAAGGTCCCGTTTGAACGCTCACATCGGTTTTTTTTTTCGTTTGGGGGAAAACTAAAACTGGTCGCAATTTTCGAATAAGAATGAGTCGGCAATTTTTAGTGGAGTCGAAAATTTGGAGGTAAATAAAACACCGAAACCCGGCAAATAAATAGCCAATCGAATTTTTAGAGGGGTCGAAATTTTGGAGTTTTCACGGTACTAATTATTCCATTTCAATGAAACTTAGTACAAAGATGCTCTAGGACAATGTACAAACCTAATTAGTTTGGGGTAAAAATCAATTAAACATTTCAATTAAACTTGGAGACATAGATTTTCTGTTACATTGCGCAGACCTCATTAGTTTTACACTCAAATCTGGTCATATTAATTTTCTGATTTGCATAATTAGTTTTCAGCTAAGTAATTTCGAATTATATTTAATGTGTCTCCAATACTCTCAGCACATGGGAGTTCTTTCTAAGCTTTCTTTGATTTAATGATACCAGGTATCTTCTGTTCTTTAATTGAAATGTGCATTGCTAATAGCGGAGCTATCTCAGCTGACAGGCTGCTTGTTTTTTATACTGTTAGAATCACTTATAATGGAGCAGGCTACCCTAAGTTAAATTGTTGTATTTATTTATTGTTGTTCTACATAGGAACACGTTAGAAGATGTCCACAGGCTCCAGTGTCTTGTCCCAATGGATGTGGAGTCAAAGATATCCCAAGAATGAAGGTAAACTAACAATAATCTTCATGATTTATATACTATATCTCTGTAGTCAATGTATACCGTATGTTTCATTTCATTGTGTTACTGTTGCCTAGCATTGATGACAAACTTATCAGCTCCACCACCCATGGTATAATTTATTGTTTGTCTGTGCCATCTTTTAATAAACATAACCTTCGAAATAATTTCATAAACTCGTTCAATTTGCAAAAATATTTGCAGTTTTCTAATTTTTGTTAAGAGGTGCATACTTTAATTTTTGATAATTTGATATTCTGATAACCATTCACAACAAAACATTTTATTCCAAATGGAAATTCTGCAAAAATATTGAGTTTCAGATTTTCTTTTTCTAATACCATATGTACTGTGCTGCCAATTATTGAAATTGCAGTGTTCGAGGTCAATGTCTGAACAGACAAAATACATAGAACATCCAATGATTGAACAGATTATTGTCTTTTACTTCATGTTGTTTTCATCTTGAAATTTCCTATGATTGCATTTTTAATTAGTTGTTTGTGAATGGTTCTCCCAATCATACAGTTCCATGTACATGTATACTAATATTTTTGACATTTTGAACATTGCCTGTTATTGTAAGATAATAGGGCTTTACCAAAAAGCCATTTCACTCACATTATTTGCACACTCAATAATACGCAGTACATCGCCATATATTGCAGATTATTAAAACTGCTGTGGTATCACTTAGAGCCCAGTTATGCAATAAAACAATTCACAAACAGACATACAAGATTATGTGTAACTGTTATCCCTCATTTGTATGAATCTTGATTCTTTCATGTCAAGAAATCATGGTTATGGTCAATTTCATTGAAAATTGACTGTCTTGCCTATTATTATACATTCCCTTTGTTGCCCTGTTAACACACAATAATATAAGGTTATTACGAGAATACCGCAAAGTATGCACGAAGACAGTACAGCGGTATTGCTGTATACCTAGCACAGGTTGTTGCACCGTGTACATTCTGAATGCATATTTTGCTGTATCTTCATAATAACTTGATTATTAGAACTAAATTATGG